GGCAGGGGTACCTGCACTGTGGCAGCAGGAGCACCCACACACACACACACACACACACACACACACACACAGGTGCATCCCAGAGCAATGTCCTTGAATGAGTTCTAAGACATGACCCTCCACTTTCTTTTGTTTCCTCTGTCCCCCTAACCTCCCTCTAGGTTGGGATCTCTAGACCAGGCCTCTTGCCAGCACCCATTTACCCGCTTATCAGGATGGCTCAATAGCCCCTCTGCCCAGATTTTACTCTTATTCACCGAGTGTTCTGATGGCACCAATGAACATTCATCACAATTCTGCTTAAATGCTGTGCTTTTTCTGAGTGGCTAGCTTCCTGCTTCATGCTGACATTGACCTGTCAGTCACTGACATGTAACTACAGAGTCATACCTTTATCTGGTCTGCTCAGACAAGCACAAACTAAAACCCTGAACTCTATGCTTACACTATAAAAAATCATTACTACTTCTTGTCACTGAAACAACACATTTTGAGAGAATTTTAAACTGAAGTAATGTCCTTACAGATGGTCACCCTACATTCTATAAAACTGTGTTCTAACACTGTACAAGAGAAAGGAGTTATGGGTTAATGGCAAGAGCTGGGGAATTTTAAACTCTAGTAGGTAGTGCAATAAGTATTACAAGGTAAAGGGTTGCTGCGAGCCAGAATCAATTACACAGCAGTGGGTTTGATTAGTGTAGAGTTAATCCATAAATGCTCTGGTTTGTGACTTTTACCTTTATTTATCATATTCAATGCATTCTACAATCTGTTTCTTTTTTAAAAAATCTAAATTTTCATGAAAAAATGACATTACCATCTTGCAAAAGGCTAAGTATGTACTTTGCATTATTCCTTAGAACACTTTTTTCATCCTTTCTTATCTTGTTTAGATTATTAAGTCTGCTTACTAGTTTGCAAACTTCTAATATTAACAAGTGTTACTCATTTATTTGCCAAAGTACTTAATGAATTTCAAAGAAACATAGAGGTTGTCACAATTTATCAATATATTTTTCTAACTTTATCCTTTTTTTAAGACATTACATATAGATTTCTGAAAAAAGGCAAAAAATATGTATGCTCATATTCACTATAATTCTATACATGGGCTAAGTCAGCTTATTATAAGCTCTTCTCTTATTAGAAACTATAACTATTTTTAGATGTCAATCATTTTATGTTGGAAATGATTTTTAGTTAATAACTCCACATGCTAATTAATTGCTACAGTTCTTCAGTTTTACCTAAGCTAACAGGGAATAATCTTCACAGAAAACTAAAAGTAACTCAATATTCCACTGTTCTTTCTGATGTACTTTAGCTGTGATACATGAAGCAATATAGTTGGCAATGCATGATGGAACATGTACTTCTCCAAACATTATGAGTTGCACTATCAAATACCCATTAATACAACCATTGCCTCTCATTCATCTCCAGCCTGTCAGACTACTGGTTGTAGCCACTTTTATCTCCTCTTCTGACCAGCCGGTCAAGTGCCTATTCTGAAAATAATGAGTAATGCTATAAAGTCAGATTGTGGCCTCACTCTGCTCAAACCCCTGCAATGGCTCCCCATTTCACACAAAATAAATGCCACAAGGCCTTGTAATACACCACAAAATCTCTAACCGCCATTTCCACACTTTAACACCTTTTTCCTACCATCCAGTAGATACCAATTCATAACAGCCCTATAGAAGAGAATAGCACGGTCTCCATAAGGTTACCTATAGGCTAGGCTAACCCCAGGATCTGCAGTTCAAATTTAACAGCAACTCCAAGGTAGAAATATGAGGCTGGATGCTCCTCAAAAGATTTACAGTCTCAGAAACCCTGAACAGAGTACGTGTGTGTCAGACTCTACTCGATGGCAATGGTGGTTGTTCTTTCTCTTGCAGAGGGGCTGATGGATTCACACTTCTGACCTTCTGGTTAGCAGCAGAGTTTAACCATGGTGTCACCTGGGCTCCTTTTCCTACTACTACTATGCACTCCTTACTCATTCTTCTCCAGCCACACAGGCTTTCTTACTGTTCACTGGAGACTAGGCACATTCCAACTTTATTTACATTGCTAGGAGTCCTGCCTGTACTGCTCTTTCCCCAGATATCTTGAAGAACGTCTCCACCTCCTTTAATAAATAGGTGTGATACATAAAATAAAAACAAAATGGGCGTGATTTAGAGTATACTGTATTTTTTTCAATATGTTCCCTCAAATTTTTTCTCCGTGAAGCTGACACTGACATGCTTGCTTCAAACTGCATCTCGCACACCCAGTGTCTATTATCTTGCTGTACTTTTTTCCATGAGACTTTCCTTTGACATGTACTTTAGTGACTTACAAAGTGTATTGCTTATGTTCCTCACACTTCAAGGCTACACTTCGCAAAGGCTGGGATCTTTGTTTTGTTTCCTCATCTATCATCCCAAAGGGTTAGCACACAAGCAAGCACTTGAGAAACACAGATACCACACTTGGCACGACAGGCCGTGACTTCTTTGATCACGAATGAATCATAAAACTGCATTTCACTTTCAGTACCTCAATACATGAGGAAAATAAATGGATGCGATTTAGAGTGCCCTGGACTTTTCCCAGAATGGGTTCCCTCGTTCTCTCTCTCATTCAACCCTCTAGAGAACTTCGAGGGATCGAAATTCTGCTACATGAGTGTTACTATTCCTATTTTGCAGACTCGGTGGGAAGTTTTGCAAGCCCCTGACCCCAAGTCACCAAAAGCTGAGAAATGTGTAGGCCCACCCTAAACCCAAAAATCTCACGTTGTTACCACCGCAACTCACTTAGGAGTTTCACACCTGTTTCCGCCAACTTTTCCTCCCAGCAGCGATGAAAATAATGGCTAATGTGTCAGAGGGATTAGTTAGTATGTGTCAGGGGCGCCTAATGCTTCATTTTATCTGGGGGAAGCGAGTCCCACGCTCCACTCCAGCGCCCAGTCCGTGAAGGGGGGGAAATTCCGTCCAGCCCAGCCCAGCCCACCCACGGGGAAGTCAAGGAGAGCCGCCTCAGAACCCGAGCCTGATTACCTGCGCTCACTCCCACCTCAGCCCCCAGGGCCTGGGAGGCTGCGCTTCACCTGCCCACCACACTCTAGGGGGGCGTTCTTCACTTCCGCTCCGAGGCTCTTCCCTGGGCTGAGGGCTCCCCGAGTAGGAGGCGCCCCCAGCCGCCTGGCAGGGAGGTGGCCCGCTGCGGCCCGGCAGTCACCAGGAGCGAGCGTCCAGCTCCAGGTCGCACCGCGGCTGTCCGCTTACCCAAGGCGAACACGCGCTACCGCGCACGCGCCCTCTGGGCGGGCTGCGTCACGTGCGCCGACGTTACGCAAGTCGGAGACTCGCCCCTTGGTCGCCACGGCAACAGTAGCGATGCCGGAAGTAGCGTCCGCCAGCGCGACCGAACGTCCTTTGGCTCCTCCCCGAGAGGTGGAGAGGTAGGGTGGGGAGGGGCTAACGTGTCTAGGACGTGCTGGCTCCTCCCACCTGACTAGACCCAAGAGGCTCTGTAGTGCAGATGGGCACATGCTAGTTCCATGTTCAGCCTGGGTGAAACTGATCCTCAAAAGACAATGTGAGGTTAAAGAACAAAATGGGGACACTGCAAAATAATGCTCTCTTATTTTATATATAGATATTGATAGATAAATCTATATCAAATACATATAGGTATAGTAAGTATATTATATATTTATTTGATATCTTTATATAGAACAATGTTTATATACTCTGTATTTATATATAGTACTTATATATTAATATATACGTATATATATATACCTACATACATACACTCTCACTGCCTTCAATTATATGAGGAGCCCTGGAAGCGTAGAGTTGAAATGTCAAGGTTAGCAATTCAAAACCACCAACAACTCCAGTGGAGAAAGATGAAGCTTTCTACTCCCATAAAGAGTTACAGGCTCAGAAACCCACAAGGACAGTTCTACCTGACCTATAGGGTTGCCACAAATATAGAGAGAGGCATGTTAAGGAGAAATAATAAACCAATAGAAAAGGATAAGAAACCTCAATAGAAAATTATTTGAAGGAGCTGCCCACAGAAAAATAATGAACCAAGCTTAAAAATGGTGAAAAGTCGTGGAGAAATAAATTCATACACCAAGATTTAGCAGTGATATTAGTATAAACCTTACAGAAGGCAAACTATAAAATGAGCATGCACTTTTTTAAAAAATCATTTAATTGGGGACTCATACAACTCATCACAATCCATCCATCATCCATTGTGTCAAGCACATTTGTACATTTGTTGCCATCATCATTCTCAAAACATTTGCTTTCTACTTGATATCAGCTCCTTGGTATCAGCTCCTCATTTTTCCGCCTCCCTCCTCGCCCCTCCTTCCTCACAAACCCTTGATAATTTATAAATTATTATTATTTTGTCATGTCTTACATCATCCAACATCTCCCTTCACCCACTTTTCTGTTATATGTAGATCCTTGTGATCACTTCCCACTTTCTACCCCACCTTCCCCTGACCCTCCTGGTATCGATACTCTCCTTATTAGTCCTGAGGGGTCCATCTGTCCTGGATTCCCTGTGTTTCCAGTTCTTATCTGTACCAGTGTCCATCCGCTGGTCTAGCCGGATTTGTAAGGTAGAATTGGGATCATGACAGTGGGGAGAGGAAGCATTAAAGAACTTGAGGAAAGTTGTATGTTTCATAGGTGCCATACTGCACCCTGACTGGCTTGTCTCCTCCCCGCAACCCTTCTGTAAGGGTATGTCCAGTTGCCTACAGATGGGTTTTGGGTTTCTACTCTGCACTCCCCCTCATTCACAATGATATGATTTTTTAATTCTTTGATGTCTGATATCTGATCCCATCAAAACCATCAAACCCATCAAATCACACAGGCTGGTGTGCTTCTTCCATGTGGGCTTTGTTGCTTCTCACCTAGATGACCGCTTGTTTATCTTCAAGACTTTAAGACCCCAGACACTCTATCTTGTGATAGCTGGGCACCATCAGCTTTCTTTGCCACATTTACTTATGCACCCCCTGTCTTCAGGGATCGTGTCGGGAAGGTGAGCATCATGGAATGGGCATGTACTTTTAACCCATGACTATTAATTTATCCTTAAGAAATAATAAAGCAGTAACACTCAATGTAGTGCAGTGGAATAATAGACCACACAAATAGCAATCTTCCTGATCTTGAGGTCAGCAGAACTAGATGGTACCCAGCTAACACTGAATTGCCCTAATAGAGATCATATTAAAAGGTAGTACAAACAAACAAACAAAAGCCATCTTGTTGAGAATGAAGGGAGTTGGAGCAGAGACCCAAAGCCCATCTATGGACAATGGGACATCCCCCCCACAGAAGGGTCACAGGGAAGGGATGAGTCAACCAGGGTGCAGTAAGGCACCAATAAAACACACAATATTCCTTTGGTTCCTTAAGGCTTCCTCACCCCTCACTATAGTGACCCTAGTGCTGCCTCTCACTTCAGACTAGACTGGAGCATGTACACAGGTACAGATAAGAGATAAGAGCTCATGACATATGGAATTCAGGAACAGGAATAGGAGTAATGATACCAGAAGGGAAGGGGAAGGCGGGGAGAGAAGGGGAGGGAGGAGGAACCATCGCAATGATCAACATGTAACCGTACCTCCCCCTCCAGTGGGATGAACAACAGAAACCATGGGGGAATGGAGACAGTGGTTTGTGTAAGATATGAAAATAATAATTTATAATTTATCAAGGGATCATGAGGGGGGAAGGGAAAAAGAGGAGCTGCTACAAGGGCTCAATAGAAAGGAAATGTTAGAAAAGAATGATGGCAACCTATTTACAAATATGCTTGATACAATTGATGTATGGATTGTTAAAAGAGTTTTAAGGGCCCCAATAAAATGATCTTTTAATAATAATAAAAATTACCTAGAGGCATGGCAGGGGAGGTTGGGGGGAAATGGGGAGCTAACAGTAATGAGTATGGGGAAAAAATGTTCTGAAGTTTATTTTGATGATGATTGCACAACTCTTGTTAATATGACTGAATGATTAAATTGTATGACATGTGAAAAAAGGTAGTACATAGAGTGTGACAAAAAATGTGTAATAAAACTCAAAAAAATCATTTAAAAAAAGTTTTTTTAAAGGCCAGGCTTGCTGGTCATCTAGAAACTCATGCTGCACCCAAGACTATGGCCCTTAGACATTTTCAGGTCTGGAACTCATTCCATGGCTCAATTTTCAGTCAAACAATAGATAGTGCTATAAGAGAAGCAATAACAGTAGCGAGGTATGCACATCTTAGAATAAGCAACCATTATATAAAATCATCATTATACTGTATATACTCATGTATACGCCAAGTTTTCCAGCACATTTTTAATGCAGTTTTTGTGGTAAAATTAGGTGCCTTGGCTGAAATTCGGGTTGGCTTATACTCAAGTATATACGGTGTATATAAATAATTTGGTTTAAAGGAGTGTAAGGCAAGAAGGAAAAATGAAAATAAGAAACATGGGGAGGAAGTGGGACAATATTGCATTGTGGAAATTGCAATCAATGACATAAAACAAAATGTGTATGGAATGCTAAATAGAAAACTAATCTCTACACTTTTACTCAATGAACCATTTTTAAAGTTTTTGTTTGTGTTTTTACAGAGGAAAGCCTTCAGTGAGATGGATGGGCACAGTGGCTACAACTATGGGGTTAAATAAAGGTGTGATGGTAAAATGATACAGAATCATCCTTCTGGTGTGCATATAAGGTCGAACTGACACAAAAGTGCCTACCAACAAAAGTTCATGGCTCGCGTGCTAACGTGCTTAGTGGAGAGGTATACTGACATCTGCACCTTGTTCAAGAATGCATCAAAAATAAGATGAATATGTAGATGAATAAAAGAATGGGGGGATGATAAAGTAAGTACAGCAAAATGTTAGTGAATGTAAATGCTAGATGGCTGTCTATAATTCTTTCAACTTCTCTGCAAGTTTACATTTTTCATAAAAATGTTGGTGTGTTAGTCCAGGTAGACTAGAGAAACAAACCCATAAACACTCATGTTGAGTATAAGAAAGAGCTTCATATACAAGAGCAATTGAATACTGAGGCCAGTATTCCAACTGAATCCCAGCCCAGTCCAGATCAAGTCCATAAGTCCGATATTAGCCCGTATGTCCGATACCACTCTATAAATTCCTCTTCAGACTCACGCAGCACATGCAATGACCCCGAATGCAGGATGACACCAGGCCAGTGGGTGGAAAGTCTTGTGGATCCAGTGGTGGTGTGAGCATCTCAAGCTAGCAGGGGTCTCCATATGGCTCATTCAGCTCCCTCAGGCTCATCGTCAGTAATGTCTCACAGGAAGTGTTTGTGTGTCCCGCCTCCAATGAGCTATCTATCTCCTTAGCGTCTCCAAATGAGGTCATCAAGCTGCGACCTGATTGATAGGCTAAACTCCACCCCTTCACTCTAAAGGCTCAAATTGATGACAGATTATGGAACTACCGCAGTTGGAGAAAATAAGAAATTTGCATTATGAAAGGGAGGAATAGCATTTACCTAATGACTATGTGACCTTGGGCAGTGAAACTTTTCAAGTGTCTAGGTGAGGATTGCCAGGTGAATTGCCAACCAACTAATTGCCTGGGAGTCGACTCTGACACCTGGTGTCCCAGCGTGTGTCAGAGTAGAACTATTCTCCAAGGCTGATTTTTTAGAAAATCATCGCCAGGCTTCTCTTCCATGGCGTCTCAAGGTGGGCTAGAACCTCCATCTTTTCAGTTAGCAGCCAAGTACATTAACTTTGTCCCACCCAGGGTCTTTCCCATTTAGCTTGTTTCTAATCAACATTTGCTGCTCCTGGAAAAATATTCTTCCCTGGAAGATAAAGCATTAAATTCAAAGCTTCTTTGCATTTTTTCCCTCTTCCACGATTGCTTCGTATTAAAAACAAAACAAAATTAAAAAAACCTGAATACAGCAGGAGAAAAAGAAAGGAAAGGGAACCTAGAGAAGAAAGGTGGGTTGGAGAAGACAAGGCAATTGAGATCAAATGATTTCGTATCTGCCACTGTGAAGCAGTCAGGTGTGCCTGCTTTCTGTCTCT